CGTCAAGAGGCAGTCCCTTAGGAGCCAATGTGGTAGTTATACAGCTCTCAAATTTAATCAAAAATATCTTCATTTGTGTTCCGAAGACGAACGAAGGTCTTACGGGGTTGGTACAGCATGGGGGTGAGTAATTAATGACTTAATTTTCATTTTTGGGTGAACTAACCCTTTAAGGCAACAAAAAGAGAATACAGTAACACAATATTTAGGACTTTCCTAAATAAGGATACCATATTATAGAATATATAAATGCAAAAAACATTTACTAAAGTATAAAAAAGTCCCAGATGGGTAGATATTTGTGAATGTGAAAGTCCAGACACCGCTGCACGTTTGTGTGGTCGGTGGCCGTTTGATGGCGTTCCTCCTCTACAGGTGGCATCAATCCACCGGCACAGCTCTTTATCTGGTAGGACTGGATTATCCTCATTCAGTAAGTCCACAAGGTGTTTCACTTAACTCGAAACCAGAAGCCGATAAGAGCAAGATAATGGTCACATCTTCAAACAGAGACGAAAGACAAGAAAGATACACAAGGAACTGTGCAACGGCATTATGGGCTGTAAAAGTGAAGGCTGAAATTGACTGCTTCTTTATGACAGTTCGGAGCTGTTTGATGAAAAATCACTTTCTTAAAGGGCAAATCATTGTTTTATAACGGGTTTAAATGATTCAACAATGAGGCACAGACAGTTATATTCTATAAGCTTGTAACTGATGGTTAAGTGACAACAAAATGAAATTCAGTGCTTCTGTTCCATCCGATTAAATATGTTGATTTATCACATAAAAGACTTCAAGAGTTCATTGTTAGTGCACTAAACAGCTCATTTGTGAAGTAATTACTTGAGTTGTTTGTAAGCAAACAGCTTATTTACACTCTTGTTCGAGTCATATTATTTCTCAGTGCCTCTACTTTAGCTCAAGTTGTCTTTAAGAGTGCGCAATTTTGCCAGATTTGGTGGGGTTGTCAGGGAAGTGTGAAAAAACATTGTGGGATCATTTGAGCCGTGCCTTCTGAAGGTGCCAGGCCCATGATAAGTCTTGTTCAAACGTTAGCTTCTGTGTCAACACTCAACCCGTGTCGCTGCGCTCTGATCTGGCCGTGCAAACATTCGGAGACAGTCGTCCGTATGGAGTGGCTTTCTGACAGTGTGCCGACACCCTGGGCGGGGAAACCGGGAGAGCGATCCCTGTCCGGTCCTCAGTCCAGGTGTGTCCAGCCTGGCAGGCTTGTGGAAGCTGGCACTTCTGAGGGGAAAGTAGCGGACAGGTGCAAAGTCATTTCTCACAAGTCTAGGCCACAGACTCCATCATCTTTCCATTCCTCCCTTCATGTTTCCTCTTATTTTTTCTGTTTCTCCAAGAGGAAAGGTCTGCCCATCCATGCAGCAAGGAGTTCCTCAAACTCTTCACTGAGCCTCGACTAGATAGAAGCCAAATACACTTCTACTTTCACTAATGCAGCAATCCCTAGAAGGTGTGGTTCATTCAACCCCGTCTACTAAGGCAACACAGATGGATTCAGCCGTGAACCGGGTCTAGATCCTGTCGGAGGATCCCTAATCCAACAGAGATCCATACTTCTGGAGGCAGGAGCTAGTTGTGTCTCCATTAATGTTGAGTTCATGAACAATCGGGGGGAGGGGTTTCCATAAAGCAGGTTATGTGACATACCCAGGTAAGTAAACATCAGATAACATCAACTTTCAGTTCCAAAAAGGCAACTTTTAGGGTATGCAGGTTGAAGAGTTGTACAGTTATTCTGGTGCAACTTCACAAAATCAACAAGGTGCATGGAAGGAAAAAACAATTTTTATTTATTTCACCACCATTGCACCACACAGGCCTTCATCAGGGCTAAAAGATCGATCGCAGGTTCGCAAGACTCTTTTAGATACAACCATAGACAAAATTCACATTTGCAGATAACCAATAAGAAAGTCAGATGCCATTCACCAATCACGGTCATGTTATTAGCCATATAGCAACTTACTCTGAACACAACCTCCTCCGGAGCAACTCATGTCCGAGAACTAGTTTGTTTCAGAACGTTTCTTACACTGGCAGTTTAGTGTGGATCGGGGCACGGTTCACATGAAAACATGGTAATGTGAAAGCAGTTGTGTGGACCCAGGAGCGCAATGAGGTACTGAACCTGACACTACCTTCGGTTCGGTTCGGTCGCACTCGATCTGTGCCACGATTCGCGTGAATATAATGGTAACTCAGGGAACACTTGTTCAGGAAGTATCCCGCTCATGCGTTTTTCGGTCGATAAAACACATGTAGGGGACAATAGCATTAATGATTTACCTTGGATACGAGCGAGAGTGAGCCTGCAGCGTATTCGCTCATAGGGAGTGCAATCAGACCGGTAAAAAACACAATATAATGACCCGGATTCTGTCTTCTATCATGCGCCATGAATGTTTGTGATGACGTAAGGTGCAGGCAAACGCACCAGGGTTGGGGTGAAAGCAGGCCAACGCTGCGGGAACAATGGTACTCAGACTCGGACCACAGTGAACGACCCCTCAGAGGTGTAGCGCATTTATATAGCGCTTTTCTCGGCACTCAAAGTGCTCAAACCTTGCTTTCTGGAATACACCCCCGGTCTAGGTTTGCCTCTTTGTAATAAACTGCTCTGCAAATCAGGCCCAATGATCCTGTCCCAACTGTTCTGGAGTAACAGTAAACTGAACTGAGATCCGCGCGATCATTGAACTGCATTTCGGCAGAGAGCCTTGACGCTAGATTTTCAGTGAAGCCATTACGTGATGACGCAAAAAGAACTACTCAATTGTTTTGAAGAATTGGTCCGTAAATTAACTAAGTCAAGATCTAGTACTATGCAGTTATGCTTTGCTAACCATTGGATATCTGCAATTACAGCACTGAATGGAGAACCACACACTATCAGGATCCAGGCTCGTGTGTGTTACAGAAGGAGAGTATTAATATGACCATTTGAATGTCTCGCTGTTTGAAAACATCACTTAGGGTCGTCCGCAAACATCGCATTATAAAAGTACATGGAGGAACAATACAAGCATGAGCACTATACACACACAGAGAGAGAATCTGCAAGCGTGAACAGGAGTGGGGGACATGATTTAGCAGTTGACTTTCACTGTTTGTCTCCCAGTTTTTAACACTGGGGCTCGAAATAAAGCTGAGAAGTTTCCCAGCACTGCAGTGTGTGTAAGGAGTGCACACAGAAACAGGGGCAGAACGAGGAGGAACGCCCGGCTGATACCGCACAACACCCACGCCACAACTCAACCGCTGCACCAGCAGCTACTTAATATTGAACAGTATTACTGTATTCGCTCATATAAATTATGTTTTTGAAATAAATCTAGGTGAGAGTAAGAGACTCTCAAAAACACACAGAAATACCAAACTTCTAAATGGTAGTGTAGATGATTTGCCCATTTTATAATAGGTGCAAATCCCGCTTTTCTCATCAGGTAATTGTGGTAATTCGGCGATACAGCGAGGGCAGACACACATCTGTGATCTATTAAACATGATATTTCAGGTAGCTCATGAGGAACACATGTGTAGCCCACGTTCTGCCCAAAATTACATTTCCACAACATTACTTGCACAAATAAACACAGAGAGACAGAGAGTAACTGAGCAATTTCTATTTGACCCTACTACCAAAGATTTAGTATGTTGTTGTTGCTGTTGTACTGTTGATTTGAACTTATAGATAGAAAACACTGAGAGCATTTCAATGAAAGTAATTCGTAATGAGTAAAGAAACAGACAGACACACGTTCATGCACTGTAAGAGAAAGGTCTTCAGCGCTGAATGTTTCACAGCTAATGAAACATATTTGTAATATAATAATGATGTTTTTAATCGTTTTTTAATGCAAAAGGCTGAACATAATGAGGAATAAAAAAATCAAAGCAATGAGAGTAACAAGTAAACAAACATGTAAAAATGCAGAAATAAAATAAAACAATACAATCATGCAATAAATAAATTGTACAGTTAATATAAATAATTTTTTTGTTCTTTTTAATTTAATTTTATTTACATTTTTAACTTTAATAAAAACATCCACTTGTAAATGTTTTTAATTTACTTAAAAAATAGCTTAAAGAATACTATATTCAGTTCAAATTAGAGTTTGCAAGAGGTGGTTTAAAATCCCCTCAATAATCAAATTAAAATAAAACAGTTTAATAAAAAAAATTTCCATCATTACAGTAACATGTGACAACAAGCCCAAACAACGCTGTTTAGGTTTTTGTAGATGTGCTCGAGCTCCCGTAATTACCGCTGTGTTGAGATTTAAAATAATAATAATTATAATAATTGTGATCTTGATAAAAGCTTTGTTTGGTTTTAAGTAAACGGAGTGCAGCAGTTTGTCGGCAGTGCTATTGATGAACGAAGGCTCGAGTCCCTGAACTCATATCGCCCCCTATTGGTCACAAAACCAACAAACTGTGACTGCTATTCATTCAACACACACAAACGCGCGCGCTCACACACACACACACACACTCAACTACACTTATGAACTAATTTGGCATTTAGATGTACCAAATTGAGAACTGCAGAAAACTGACTTGACTGACAATGGAGAACAGAATCTTCAGGTGAAGTTTATAGGCTACTTTCGACATAATAAAAGAAACACGCACATACTACGTGCAGTTTGTTATGTGTACAAGCTAGTTTAAATTATTTTCTTTGGTGTATAAACAAGTATTTTTAGCTTTGAATACAACCAGTTCACTTTGCTTTAACCACATATGTTTACGTTTATGCATTGTTATAGTGTAGACTAAATACTCAAGAAACCAGGAGAGCAGCAGGTTGTTGTAAAGTTTATATTTTCAATCTATAGTGTCATGTTCATCTACAGTGTGTGTGTGTGTGTGTGTGTGTGTGTGTCAGAGAGAGAGAGAGAGAGAGAGAGAGAGAGATCGTGTTCTGCTCCGCCTCCATTCATCCACATATAAGTGATGTGATTTGGAGAGAGAGGGAGCAGAACCTCTCCTTATCTCGACACACTAACGCACTCAGGCAGGATTTGTCGTCTTCATCTCAGTGATATATGTCGTGTGCCGCATGTGTGTGTTTTCCCGCGAGCCGCAGATCTGAGCAGTTCTGAGGAACTTTGGACACTTTTGCGCAGGAGCGCGCGCGCGTTCAACACACCCGACTGAACTCCTGCAGGAGGATTTTACCGCTGCACGACAGTCTTCTTCACTCTTCTGCATGAATCTCTTCGACTCCTACCTGAAAATGAGCGACGAGCAGGACAAGAGTCTGTCCGACGCGCCCAGCCCGAGCATGTCCGAGGACTCGGCCGGGTCTCCGTGTCCCTCCGGCTCGGGCTCGGACAGCGAGAGCACCCGAGCGGAGCAGCACCTGAGAGAGTTTAAGAAGGACGAGGAGGACAAGTTTCCCGTGTGCATTAGGGACGCGGTGTCTCAGGTTCTGAAGGGGTACGACTGGACCCTGGTGCCCATGCCTGTCCGAGTCAACGGCTCCAGCAAGAGCAAACCGCACGTCAAGAGACCCATGAACGCGTTCATGGTGTGGGCTCAAGCCGCGCGCAGGAAGCTGGCGGATCAGTACCCGCACCTACACAACGCCGAGCTCAGCAAAACACTCGGCAAACTCTGGAGGTAACGCATGCAGTTTACTTCAATGCATTTCTTTTTTAGTTTTATTTTTATTCTAGAAATAAAACTCTTCAATGCATTTCTTTTTTAATTTTATTTTTATTCTAGAAATTAACGAAATTCAGAACACTTATTTATTTAAGTAACTCTGGAAAACTTTGCATTTGCATTTTAAATATTAGATGAACTAAATATGCTAATAAACCAAAACTGGTAAATTTGAGTACATGTGAATGTATAGGATTGTTTAACTGTAAATGGGCAAACTAAGCCTTACTTTACATGCACGTTAGTGTATAAAAAGTTCAAATGTGTTGTCAATGTTGTTCTGGATAGAAAACGTCTTCATTTTCGGGCTTATTTCATTAAAACTAAATATTATTTTATAAAAAAATAAATAATAATTTTTAAGAACACCTATTTTTTTTAATTATTAACTGGAGAGGGTAAATCTGATCATTTCTCATGGATGTTTGCAGACTACTGAATGAGGGAGAGAAGCGTCCGTTTGTGGAGGAGGCCGAGCGCCTCAGGGTTCAGCACAAGAAAGACCACCCCGACTACAAGTACCAGCCCCGGCGAAGAAAATCGGTGAAGAACGGCCAGACCGACGGCGAGGACGGCGAGCAGACGCACATCTCTCCCAATGCCATATTTAAAGCCCTGCAGCAGGCCGACTCTCCGACGTCCAGCATGGGAGAAGTGCATTCCCCGGCAGACCACTCAGGTACTTCAACTTCGTCATTAAAAAAAAAAAAGTTTTCACTTTTCGCAGTCAAAACAGTGTCGTGTAAGATAATAACTAATCAGTCAAGACTAACTTTAGCTGGACACAACTTGTTCTTGAGCAGCTGTAAAGACAAAACGATCTCTGTTACTTTTATTTCCTATTATCACTGTAAAGCTGCTTTGAAACAATTTATATAGTTAAAAGCGCCGTATAAATGAAGGGTTAACTTTACTGGAGTCCTGTACCCTTGCAAGCTACAGCACCTTATGTAACGCCTGCAGGGAAACTCATAAATCTTATCTGGCCTTCTTAACGTCGCTGTGTATCTTTATCAGCTTTCTGATTGCGTCAGCAACATAATGTGTGCCAGGTTCTACATTTCTTTCTTTTAAAATTTCATCTCGTCTCCGTTTTGAAAAGCAGGTCAGTCCCAAGGTCCCCCCACGCCCCCCACAACCCCCAAAACAGACGTGCCGTCCAGCAAACCAGACTTGAAGCGTGAAGGCCGTCCTCTGCAGGAGGGCATCGACTTTGGCGCCGTGGACATCGGCGAGCTGAGCAGCGACGTCATCTCCAACTTGGAGCCGTTCGACGTCAACGAGTTCGACCAGTACCTGCCTCCTCATGGGCACCCGGGGATCCCGGTCTCCAACAGTGGCCAGGCGTACTCCTCCGGCTACGGGCTCGGATCTCAGGCCGGATCGGCTCACGCCTGGATGCCCAAGCACTCGCTGAGCAGCGAGCCGCCCCAGCAAAGGACTCAGATCAAGACGGAGCAGCTGAGTCCCGGCCACTACAGCGAGGGGTCCCCACAACACGCCAGCTACGCCACCTTCAACCTGCAGCACTACAGCTCCCCCTACCCCTCCACCACCCGCCCGCAGTACGAGTACGAGCACCAGAGCCCCGCCAGCTCCTACTACAGCCAGTACCCCGCCTTCAGCTACATGAGCCCCAGCCAGAGGCCCATCTACACCCCCATAGCGGACACGGCGGGCGTCCCGTCGGTGCCTCCACCACACAGCCCTCAGCACTGGGAGCAGCAGCAACCAGTCTACACCCAGCTGTCCCGGCCCTGAGACCCTGCCGAGACCCTCTTGAGACTTTCCTGAGATCCTCGCTCGAAACCCTGGAGATCTTTCAAAGTACTCAAACTCACGGAATGGCTCCCGACTGTGCCTTTTTTACATTGCTTGGAGTTGTGATTATATTTTTCTAGATATAATGAAGAGAAATCCTCTGTGAGGACAGATCAAGATAATTATTTTAGTATGTACTGTGTATGTGTTTTTTTTCTTCTCAGTTTTGTTGGATTGGGGGATTTATACGCAGCTGCCTGTGAGACCTCCTTCACTGATGATATTTTTGTAAAGACTGCTTTTGCCTGATAATTTCCTCTGTATATATTTGTGAGGGGTTCTTAAAACTTGGGCAGAGTATGTGCAAGTTAGCTGGGGAAAGATGTACAGTCTGAACTCGAACACTTCTAAGCGTATTTGCCATGTTTGAGCTGGTGTTTCCGTGAAAACTGCCTTCATCCATCTGTGCCTATACAGATCGTGGAGGAGAAACAGGAAGTGCCCTTTGACCCGAGGCTCCTCCGTTGCTCCCCATTGGTCAGATTGACATTCCTTCAGATGCCATGGAGTCTTAACCTCTTTAATTTATTCATTAGTGTTCGTTTGACTTGAAAGTAATACTGTCGTGTACTTCGGCTTTGTACGACTAATTTGTGATAAAATGTTTCCAGAGATGATTATGATGATTTAGTTGTAGTGCAAACTTTAACGATCTCATTTATTTATCGTTTGTTACCGTTTCCATTTTTAAATTTGAAAAAATGTTCATTTGATAATCTAGTTGAGAGCCGATTATAATTGTGAAACTTGATCAAACCTGTCATAGAAACAACTGGGCTGTTGGCTACATCTCTATGAAAACACCAGCATTTCTTTCTTTCCCTCGTTCTTTATATCATTCAAATAAACTGTAAAACATGCCACCGTCTTAAAGGAAGCTTATCTTTTGTATCATTATTTGCAATAAAAGAAAGATATAGAAAATATCGTTTGTTTTAAAATGTCTTTTTCAATCAAGCTTTTTGTGGGATCTTCATGACATGAACACACCATTATCACACCACAGCGATCTATTCGTCCAACTTTAAAGACAATTCAGTTCACATGCAATGATTCGACTTTTATTAACGTACAAACATGATGTAGAATGGCGTTAGTAAAGTAAAAGGGGAATGATCCTGTGCTGGGGACAGCTGATAAAGCGATCAGGAGGAAAGCAGGAACTCCAGCGTTCGGCTGTAAAAACAACAGTGGTGATTTCATCAGTCATCAGGAGATCAGTGAAGCGACACACATCACTGTGTCGTAGCTAATTAAACAACAGCGGCAAAACGCATCTATAAACCGCAGAACAATATGTTTGATGACAGATGACGCTGGATTCTTACCTTTAACTCGCTCTGAAAGGCTGCTGTACATATGGCTGCATTTGCACTGCAGGTCTTGATGCACAATTGTGATTTGTTGACTATATCAGATTTTAGTTGTGGCCCATATTATCCGATATCTACATTTACACTGCACACCTGTCGAAACAACCCAACGTCCTGACCAGGAAAACCATTGGCTCTGAAGGTGGAGAATAAAGAGCATTGACGGGAATCTCCGATCTGTCTGCTTACAATGCACATATCCAGGTCATATCAGATTTATTTCCACATGTAATGAGGCCTAAAACCGATCAGAGAATATCTGAATCCAGGCTTACAGGTTTGTTGGTCATATCCGATCTGTCCCACGTGGGAGGAAAAAATCTGAGCCATTGAATGTGGCCTGCTATATTCTTGAGTTTCAGTTTAATTTCATTAGTTAAACTGCATGAACGAAAGTGCCAATGTATTTGTGCAAAATGCTTTTATACCAAGCATTTTTTTTTTTTTTTTAAATGGCAAAACCCCAAACTTTTTATTTTAAAACAAGTAGAAACAAATCAGCTAATGCATATAAAGTAGCAATTTAAAAACATTACGTTGTGTGAAAATCTTTTAGGTTATATCCCCATTTATAAAAATTAAATGTATATCAATTCTTCTTTCTTTTTTTAGGTCTACAGTGTCCCATTTTGTGTAATCCTTTCTAGAAGACACACAAAGTGTGTGTGTGTGTGTGTGTCAAATAAAACAAAACTGGTGTCATTTAACGTGCATTCATTTGTGTCCAAATCAAATTGTAAACTGGAAGTGAATTGCTCATGTGTGAGTGATTTAACTCAAAAGCTGTAACAGAATGCTTAACCAATTCAGTTTAAACCACTGTCCAGTTTGCTAAATTGCACAAACGTAATAAAGATTTAGGAAGTGCACTTGTCTGCAGTGGCAGCGAAGCGTTTGATGGAATGGGAATGTCCCATCGGACAGACAGGAAAGGATCCCAGTGTTTCCCAGAGGGACTCATCATTATTCCACACACACACACATCGGCCCTATGGGTGGTCCCTCTGACTGAACACACTCCACTGATAAACCACAAAACACTGGAGGAATCATTCACACAGCGGAGTATTAAGATCTTATGATCTCAAGATTTAATATCCAGAATGATTCATCTATTGAACTCTGCCTTCATTTGAAATATAGCAGTCATTACATTTGGCATGACATGGAAGTTGCAATCGTCTCTTATTGGGTTGGGTTTTAGTCTAGCTCTAAACTGACTTCCGGCTTCCTGGATAATGTTAGGAAGACTGTTCCAGAGTTTTGGGGTTAAATAGGAAAAGGATCTACCATCAGCAGTCGATTTTGATATTCTAGGTATTATCAACTGGCCGGAGTTTTGAGATCGCAGTAGACGTGAAGGACTATAATGCGTTAAGAGCTCACTTAAGTACTGCAGAGCTAAACCATTCAGTACTTTATAAGTAATCATAAATATACTGTAAGCAATAAGGTACGAGAGGCTATGCTGTATCGTGAATAAGTAACGGCTGAAGGGCGAAGGGAACCCCTTCAGGAACTTGTTTAAAACTAAAGTCCATCTTTATAATGTTATCTCAACTATCATATTCAGATATTTCACTGTTACATCAGGGCACCATTTGACATCATCAATAAATGACTAGCATCATCTGATATATTCTCCTGCATTTCTTGCTGTAACAAAAGTGTATCATAAACACAAAGCAGCCAGAGAAACGCTAATGTTAAAAACTTAAGGGTCAAGAGCCCCACTAAAGCAAACATTGATCTCCATTATGGTGACATCAAATTTTTGTTAAAGTTTTTTTGCACTTTATTTTAAATGAGCATATTTACTTAAATTTACTTTAATTTTATGCTTTTTGTTGGCCCTTTTTTTAAGATTTTTTTTTACAATGAAGGTATTTGATCATAATAATGCAGGAAATACCTGTAAATAACAGTGTTTTTCAGTTTATTTAATTTAGGATGTTTTACTTTAATTTTGCAGTTTTTTTGGGAGCTGCCGGTCATTTACCATTTTATCATTTAACTGTTTTGTTACTGTTTAATTACAGATTATATTTGTAACTTTACATACGTTTTTATGTAATTTAAGAAATTTCTATCAATTGTATATATAAAAAATGTAAATGACTGGAATTTGTCATTAATGTCACAACACCTAAAATAACAGCTGCATTTTTATTTTACAGATATTATTTGTAATTTGACAGTGTTTTGAGTATAATTTAAAATGAGACATCGATCATCAAAAAATCACAGTTATTTTCTGTGGAATTAGAATTTTTTTTTTTTTAATTTACAGTGTAAAATGTACTGAATGTTAGCTTGCTTGTTTGTGCCCAAGAGCGCAATGTCATTTACTGACCCCATTCACCCAAGATGTTTGTGTCTTTCTTTCTTCAGAAGAAAAGAAATGAAGGTTTTTGAGGAAAACACTCCAGGATGTTTCTCCATATCGTGTGTCCAACGGTGTCGAAGTTCCAGATATGTCTCGACTTGATCCAGCCAAGGAATAAGAGTCTTATCTAGACAATCCAGCTGACATTTTATAAACAAAATAAACATTTATATACTTTTAACCACTAATGCTCACCCTTTGTAAAGCTGCACTGAAACTCACATTTGGACCCCATGGATGGAGAACAATTCTGGAATGTTTTCCTCAAAAACCTTCATTTCTTCTGAAGAAAGAAAGACATGAACATCGTTGTGTGACTCATCCTTTAAGGTGGTTTAACTAGAATCAATGCTTCTAACCACAGCCCAAGAGATGTAGTTGCAACCACGTATGTTTCAAAGCTGTCAGCAAATGTTTGGTGGAACTATGGTTTCGGGAGACTTTTAACAATGTTGTCAATGAAAGAACTTGCGACCACAGTTTGCTAGTGATGCTTCTGGGAGACGCAGAGTAATGTGTTGAGCATTCGAAGCTCGGAAGTCGAAACCCGTTTGTCATCCAGGAAATGTTTATCTGGTGTCCCTCTGTCTTTGGTTCAGCGGTGCATTGGGTCTCTGAGGAGGATAAAGCACAGTAGGTACAGTATGAATCCAGCGCCAGTAAAGTCTCAGAGGTTCCAGCATAAGCTATGTTCTCCACTCAATGCCCAGATGCAATAATACACGGAGGAATAATCTTGATATAATTGTGGGATTTTCCACCACCATCCTTCCAACTGTTTTCAATTATCATCCTTGAATGATTGTTCTTTGGCTCCGGCACACACATGATGACATTACATGCCCTAACATCTTCTTAATGCAGAAACGTTTTCTGATTGGGTCTCACAGTGTTGACATGATTTATCATGACATACGGTATGAATCTACTAAATACAAAATTTGTTTATTTCTTTGGTTAATATTCGCATAGAAATCTCTAAACGTCCAACAACGCAGTGCAATCATGTGACATTCAGGTGTGAAAATGCTTTCTTTTCAGAAGAGAAGGTTTAATTCTTCAGGAAAGTGATTTAAAGACAAGGTATTAAGAAAAGTATGAAGTGGACGAGACAGAAGATCCTGTGCTTCCTCTGAATGCTCTCTTTGAAAGCCAGAGCCAAACTCATCATATTTCACTGGTCCATTAAATATCTCAGCAGAAACATCATTCAAGCATATTAAAATAAATACATAACTAGTAGATTAACATTAATCCAATCAAACTATTAAAAAATTGGGACTATTTTTTTGTCTCCCAGTCCCAACAGACTGACAAGTAGTGAAGTGATTCATTTGGAATTTTCATTTTAAAATCTAATTAACACATTCAAGTCATTTTTAAAAAGATTTAAAATTTTTTTTTTTTTAAAGTTTGGGAAAATGGATAAAATGTTTGGAAGCTTGTTTCCACCACAGAATAAAAAGGTAATTGCAACTTTTTTATTTCTCACAATTGCGTGTTATAAAGTCAGAATTGCGAGCAGAATTCTGACTTTTTTTATCACTCAATTCTGATAAACTCGCAATTTTATTTTTTAAACTGTGGCAAAAACAAGCTTACACAGCCATGGGTGTCAAACACACACACACACACAAGCTCTCTAGAATGAAAACATGTGATTATTAAAGACCTCATGAAATGGGTTTTTCAAAGTGGGGAACTATGACGTCAAAGAGGATTAAACACACCCCCACAGGAGAAAATCGACGCCTACTTCAACATGGTCAGTGTAGCCCCACCCACCGATTCGCGCATTACCCGCATAGCTAAATAACATAGATGCCTACCTCTTGATGACAAACTGGATCGAGCTACCGAGCAATACAGACTATTGTTGTGGAAGACAGTCGCTGCATAAGCTTCCTCTGGATTCCATTAGGACTGCATGGATAAACTTTATTTTTAATGACATTCCAGCTGATGAGGTAAAACATCGTCGTCTGTTCGCTTCATTTCACTGAGGATTGTTCTGTAAACAAGACTGGATTTGCAGACCGATTAAGAGTAAAGAACGGTGCTGTGCCGTCTATATTGGATCTGACAGGAATTGTGCAACACAAGGACTAAGGGTTGAATCATTCCAGTTGCCATTTTACAACATTGGATGTTTTCAAAACAATTTCCC